CTCTTTAACATGGCGGCAATATTTGCAGGAATCCATGACCAAAGGTATAGAAATCACAAAATGGTTAAGAATTCCATAAATCCCAAGATATTAAAGGCGGTTATTTTGAGCAACCGTACAATTTCTCTTCTTTCACCTTTAAATTATTCTGTCATGACGACCTTTCATGAAATTCAGTTTGAAGTATCCCAGTGAACTGCATTTCTTAGAATTCTGATATTTTCCAAAACCTGGCCCCACTCTACGAATATCTTTGACCTTCTCTCATGAAACCGACAAAGACCACATAAATTCACATTGTCATATGTGTTTTAGTTTGGGCACCTAACTGGGTGCCCCACAGATTTGGCCTTGTGTCACATCTAAGCTACGCTTAGAAAATCCTTTAGTTGAATATGTAACCGGTTGATTTAGATGATGACAGTGAAATCTTAAAAATGTATTGTTTTTATTCTTGTGTTTAGTTTAGTTAGCAAGCTTGTCTCGCTAGAACAATTAGAATTGAGTAGTGAGTTTGATCTTCACTGGGTACCCCATACCTTCGGCCTTGTGCCACATCTAAGCCACGCTTGGAAAATCACTATATTTTGGCACTTCAACGGGGTTTAATGGTTAGCAAGCTTGTCTCGTTTGATCATTTTACGACTGAATAGGAAGTACGATCCTTACTTGGTACCCCATAAGTTTGGCCTTGTGCTACAACTAAGCAACGCTGAGAAAATCACCTTAGTTGCTTAACTTAATATGTAACCAGTTGATTTAAATGATGATAGTGAAATCTTAAGAGGAGTGCATTGCTTATGGGTGTTTATTCTTGTTTTATTATCCTTTCAACTGCCATTTACTTACACAAGATCTCTAGGTAATCATTCAGATTTCCCATCCCTGCTGCTTGCCTTCAGTAGGCTCTGAGAATACGAAATTCTTCAGGTTCATTTCCCTCTTCATGTGCCCTAGAAATCTTTTTCTCATCTCTATAAAAGGCAGAATGTGTGTGTGTGTGTAACGAATGCACGGTTGCAATTTTCGACGGATTTGCACCAAAATTCACATGCACATGCTCCAAGTTAGAATGAAGGCCAAGACCGACTTTGCATTTCCCAACTCCCATCGATAGTAGAAATAATCGATTTTTTCATGCTTCTTCGGCACTTTTCATGTAGTTTGCGGCCATTTTGCAGTGGACAGAGTGAGAACCTATAGCTGGCTGCCCCGAATAGGCAGGAATATTCTATTGGCTAAATTGAGAGCCAACAGCTGACTGAAAAGAATGTTAACTAGCATGCAAAAAAATCGATAGCTGCATTCGTCACAAGTGATAAAAATTTAAATCTGCATGGCACTTTACTCCGATTGGCTCATTCGCTTGCTTAAACTCAGCGTTGATTCTGATTTCGCAGAACTGGGTTAGGAGTGAAAAAGTATTCTTTTTTCATTCGGTTTTTCCAGTTATGAGTCCTTTTTTAAAGCTGATCGTTTTGTGTTCATTTTGTTTAGTCCTTTTTTCGTAACAGATTTAATGTTTAGTATAAAGTTTAGAAAAAATTCGCAGTGTGAGATAGGCAAGAAGTAAGGCATGTAGCAACATCAGCACGGCAAAGGGCACTCCTTTAAAGGCAAGGAAGGGCAAAGATATTTTAAGTCAAGTGATAGCGGTTGCTGTATGAGTCGGACGATTTTTGAATCAAGCACGGGCAACGTCGGGCCATGATACTAGTTCTAAATAAAAGTGTCACTTTTGTTTCCATTATATATAAAACTCACATGTTCAGTCAATCTTATTCTCAACATCCTGCTGTAAAACCACATCTCTGTTGCCGAAAGCTTCTTCTCCATCTATGAGTCAAACATCCGGAAGACTGCGATGGTTAAATTGTCATCTAAGTGAAAATAACACTGACATCTCATTTGAACAGATATATTTGCAAAAATTATCTTGAACTACTCAAGAATAAATGTATTCAATAAAATCTCCATTGGCTTCAGCCACGGCCGCCAAATGACTTCGGAATCTCCTGCAACTCTTCTAAACGGTCGCCTTGTTTAATTTGGTGAATGCTGCCATGTTAATCTTTGGTATGACTAAGAGTTTTTGGTCTTTCGCTCAAAGGTATCAAACACAGAATAATCAAGTGGGTTGCAGTCTGGTGAGTTAGATGGGACGACTTTTATCAGACAGCCATGACTGGGTACTGCTGCTGATGTAGCAGACATAGCGTCTCTTGTTGTCAGACATAGGGTCTTCCAGCAGCCACTCTCTTGATTTAGGTCATCACAACCTCCATGGTTATAGACCTGGTTGACTTGGAGGGATACTTTTCAATCATGGTCTGAATCTCATCAACACATTTTGGAGTTCTATTCTTATCAGAAAGATCAGAATGAGTTTTCCCTACTTCCGTACTTTCGTAATCACCACAAGAATCATGCAACAAAATCGCTGCTCTGCCCATAGATTGATTCCTAAACCCTCCGAATTTTTTGTTTTGGGTCTTCTGGC